GTCTGTGTCTCGTACCATCGCTCGTTACCGTGATACTGGTAGCGTAGCCTGACGTCAAGGAAGTGGACGGAAGAAAACAGCAACATCAGCAGCAGAAAAAGTAAGGAAGCGACTTGATCGAAACGAAACCCGTCACAGTGGCCTACAAATGGCTTGTGAACTGAACATATCGCAGTATTGCATTCGGCAAATATTGAAAAATGAGCTCGGGATGAAGCAATTGAAATTCCAACAGGTAAAAAAGCTGTAAGTTCGGTCGGGCCGAACTTTGAATACCCTTCACCATTTGGTAAAAATTTGGCAATTTTCAAAAAATTAATATCCATTAAAAATTCTGTTAAAATCTTAAAAATACCGAATAAAGCCGTATATTAGGGTCTATACAACGACGTAGTAACCATTGCGAACTTAAAAAAAAAAATTTGAAATAATTCCGGTAAATAATGTCGCTAAAATCATCAAAATACCGTATATCGTTGGGGCTATACGAATCGTGGGGACCTCCACATACAATTTTCTGTCATTGGCTGTAGTATTCATTACGAACTTTAAATACTAAATTTAAAATAGTTCCGGTTCCCCCGATATTCGGTATTTTGATGATTTTAGCGACATTAAAATCATCAAAATACCGAATATTGGGGGAACTGTTACGTGGGGGCTATACGAAGACGTGGACCTACATGACCCATTTTCTGTCTTATGCCGTAGTATCTATTACAAACTACAAATACAAATTTTGAAACAATTCCTGTGAATACTGTCGCTAAAATCATGAAAATACCGAATATAGGGGCTATACGAAAACGTGGACGACATGGTCCATTACAAACTTAACCTGCATGCTGGTAAACTATGCATGTATGCAAAATTTTAGCCTTCTATCTCAATTCGTTCAAAAGATAATGTGATTAGAACAGACAGACAGACGGACATCGCTAGATCGTCTTCGAATTTTTCGCTGATGCAATATATATATATATATATTCTTTATAGGGTCTTATAAATATTTCGAGGAGTTACAAACGGAATGACAAAGTTATTATGGTGGAGGGTATAAAAAGAAAGTTTGATTTATTCGATGCGTGGAGGTGAGATAATGCTGGGTTTTTGGAAATTGAAACTATTACTGTACAGTAATGGAGTAGAATTGAATCCGTTGTATTTGTCAAATAGATAGAACAAGAATTCTAAAATTTGATGTAAAGGCCTCTGGTAGGGTTTAGTAGAGATTTACCAAAGGTTTTTCAAAAATTCGAACTATAATTATACTCAATTTGGTACTATTTGCTGTTATGTAAACGGATAGAGATAAAATCTCGGCATTTAGTATCACAAAAAAAAATCTGGGAAGTAGGGTTCATAAAAATTTGGAACATTATGAGTCTAAGTAAACGCATGGAGCTGGAATTTTGAAATGTAGATTTTGATGGGGTCACTGTTAGTCTGCAGGGTTGAGATTTGTAATTTTTGGCTTTGGGGTCACTTTTTGTAGGTTGAGATATGAAGCTGGCTTTGGAAATATGTAGGAAAACTACTAAATAGTATTAAACTTGGTATTTGGGGAAGGGACAGAGTTGGAAATCTGAAATTTAGAATGTGGATCTTTGTGTTATGTAGGACAGACAAACCAAAGAAATTTTAGAAATTCCAATAATAAGTGTACGGTAGGTACAAAAATGCACTAAATATGGTACCATTGGAATTATGTGAACGGATAAAGGTATAGTTTTTAAAATTTGGTCTGATTTGCTAAGAGTATTGTTATAAACGGTAAAATTTGCATAGAGTGTAGAAATAGGAAGTGAAATCAAGAAGTTTTGTGCGAGCATAACTGTGATTGATAAGACGAATTTTATACGAATACCTTTTAGAAATATGAAATTTCAAACATTAATATTGTACCTAAAATCGTCAAAATGCCGTTATATGGGGGCTATATGATATCGGGGCTACCGATATATATATAGTCCTGCCTGCAGACAAAAGATTGATCTGTGCAAATTTGTAGCTTTCTATCTTTATTTGTTTTGACTCTAGCGTGATTACAACAGACGGGCGGACAGGGCTAAATCATCTTAGAATTTTACGCTGATCAAGAATATATATATACTTTGAAACTCCTATATTCTGGATAAGCGTAAAAATCTAAGACGATCTGGCCCTGTCCGTCCGTCTGTTGTAATCACGCTCTCTTTCGAACAGATTCAGATAGAAGGCTAAAATTTTGCACATATATGTATTTTGCCAGTAAGCTAGATAAATTCGTAAATGACCCATTTTTCGTACAGCCCCCATATAACGGTACCTCCTTATATTCGGCATTTTGATGATTTTAGCGACATTATTCGCCGGAATGGTTTCAAATTTCGTATTCGAAGTTTGTAATGGATACTGCAGCCGATGCCCAAAGATAATTTCGTATGCAGGTCCAGGTCTTCGTATAGCCCCCATATAACGGTACCTCCTTTCATTCGGTATTTTGATGATTTCAGCAACATTATTTTGACATTTTGACAACATACATTGACCGGAATCGTTTCAAATTTCGTATTGGAAGATCTTTAAATGTACTTCACCTATGGCAAAAAATATGCAGTTCCGCGTCTCCGTATAGCCCTTATATGACGGTATCTCCCGATATTCGATATTTTAATGATTTTAGCGACATCACTTACTGGAACTGTTTCAAATTTCGTGTTTAAAGTTCGTAATACAGCCTATGACAAAAAAAACGTATGTAGGTTCACGTTTTTGTGTAGCCCCCATACAATATTACCCACCCCCCCCCCCTTCCCTTTTTTTTGTATTTTGATGATTATAACGATATTATTCACCGTATAAATCTCATCATTTAATCGGTATTTTTCGGAATTTTTTGAAAATTTTCCTTCCAAATGGTAGAGGGTATTAAAAGTTCAGCCCGACTGAACTTATCAGCTTTTTTACTTGTTACATCTCAACTCGTTTTATCTTAATATTTCGATACGTAAAGTTTGATTGTTAGAAGATTGAAATTGTATGGGGGAGATACCAGAAAAAGTGCAATGATATATTCTTTTTTCACATTTAATGAAGAAAATCGCAAAGATGTTTCAAAAATAGTGGACCAATATTGTACCTTTTCGAAATTTACTCATGTGGCAAGTTTGAATTATATCGGGTATAGCCTTCGCCGAATATGAGATTTTTATTACAAAATTTTGAAGTTATTTTGGTGGGACTTGAAATCCAGATTACTTCAGCATTTTCAAAAGATCTCAAAATCCTGAATGAAAAATCAACCTTATTATTAGACGCATTTACTTATCATCTAAACTCCTCTTACGAATCTCTTTCTTTTGCAAAAATTTTGTATTGACAGTAACTTAAATTATCAATTGTTACAAATTATTGGGTAGTTTATTAATATTTTTTGAAATTTGGGAGACCAGATATTCGGGGGCCTTGAACAAAATCCTTAGCTAATTTTTTTTATATGTAGCCCCTACATCGTTTCCTGTGTGAATATATCAGATATTAGAAGGAGCTAACCGTATCAATCCATCCTTACACTTGAACTATAAATGTCCTCCTATGGCTCTCAATATTCGCAAATGAGTCTGTATTTCCCACTCATTCTCTAAGAACTGAAATTATTTATTCATGAATAGGTACGACAATCCTGAATTACCCTCTCAACATAAGGTTTTGTGGTTAGAAAGTCATTTCATAAGAACTAGTATAAACTTATACTCCCTTTTACCCCTTTTTGAATACCGTCATCCACCACACCTATTTTAACTAAATTTGAGTATACCTTAGGGGCCAAGAAAAAATTACTAATCCTCATCAAACAATTTCCAAAAAAGATTAAAAAAACTAATTGAATCCAACTATCAATACTCCTCTGTTCGTTGAATAAAAAAAATATTTTTTTGGGGTCTAATCCAAGGTTTCTGATAAAATAAATTGGTTTTATTATTAAAAAATGTGAAAATTCTTCTCCATGTTATCCTTGATTTTAAAAAAATTAGATCGAAAAAATTTAATAAAAAGTAAAATTTTTAACACCAGACTGTAGTCATTTTAATCAAATTTCCTTGAAATTAAATCCCTTGGGGTCAAATCCAAGGTTTCTGATAAAATAAATTGGTTTTATTATTAAAAACAATTCAACTTCTTCTCCTAGTTATCCTTGAATTTGAAAAAATTAAATCCAAAAATTGAAATGTTGTAATAATTATTTAACACCAGACTGTAGTCAACAATGTAGGGACGTAAGGACCTACGTATAGAACATTTGTTTGATTGTTAGTCTTCTTTTAAGGTTTCTTCTTTTACGCCTTCCCCTTTGTTCTTCTCCCTCCCTCTGTCTCTCTCTTTCTCTCCCCTTCAACTCTCACTATTTGGTCTTTTTTGTATTAATCAAAGGACTGCTAATATTCAACATTTTGTATACATTATTGTATCCTTCTGCCGATATTGGGCGCCACTGCCACTGATGTGTCGTACTGTCGCCTTCGTGTGCGTCAAGTATGAATCATTCTTCGGTTGGGTTTGTTGTTTTCCGTTGTTGTGTCCCAACCCCCCTCCACTTGAGGCACTTGATGTGAGTGTGTATGTGTGTGTTTGTCAGTTTGTGTAAATTTTCGTGGGTTTTCTAACGATGATTAATACGACGAATAGAAGAAGGAAAAAAACTTGAAATTTTTCTTGTATTCGCATTGGGGAAAAAACGAATGATTTTTTCCATTGGGATGTCACATTTTCAAGTTCATTGAAACAAAAACATTTTTTTTGTCTGCAGGGAAAAACACAATAATACAAATTATTGTTTTAACTTCTGTTTTTTTTTTTTTTTTTGTTTTTAAATAATTCCCGATTATTCTTTGAGACACTTGAAGTTTTCAATTTTGCACATATGTGTCGTAGGTCTTCTTGGCCTAAGGGTTTTTTGCATTTTTTCATTAATCAGAATATGTATCCTTTCCTTTGGAAGAAAAATCTGAAATTCTTACAATTATTTTATTTGCATTTTTTTGGATCATTCACCAATGTTTGAAACTTTCGAAAAGTTTTCTTTTTTTCAAATTTTATTCCAATTGGATTTCCAATTTGATTTTCCACTCGGTATATACTTTTTTCTTCAATTATCTTCACTTGTTTTTTGGGGTATATGCTCTTTATCTGTTTTTTTTTGCTCAGCACTCCGCTGCGTTGTTTTACGTTAAATGTGAATAACTCGCAATAGTTTCGTCTCTGCCGTTACTTTCGCTTATGGCTAGAATGAGTGGTGCGTATGTGTCAGTGCCAGTCGTCTTATAATCACCACAACCACCACCGTAAATCGTTATTCCTGCACAGGCGCACTAGCTATCCCACCCCTAGTAAAGCTGCATTTACTTTACCGTTACACCGAATTACAACGTTGTCAACAATGACATACACATTTTATCAACCCTGTTTAGTTATTGCGCTTCGAGAAAGATTCTGCCATGAGACATATTTTGACAGTTATGTGGTGAGTTGTATTGAAGTGTCAAAATTGTCAACTGACAGTGGGAGTAAAAGCAAGACGTTTCAGAAAACAGTCTTTAATAATCTCCCCCTCTTAAAAATATATAACTTGACCTTAGTATTAAATGTAAAAGAGGTATTCAGATGCCACCAAAATATAAATGTCCAATTTCACATCAATTCGGAAACAGCCATATATAATAGGTCTGTCTATTTACTTTTCCTGCTAGAAGTATCCCGAAACGTCTCTCTCAAAAAGCAAAGAAATTTTATTCTTTATACCCTACAACACTATGTGTTTGGGGTATTATAAGTTTGATTGGGCCAAACATTATGTAACACCTCGAAATATTGATTTCCCACATAGGAAAGTATATATGGATCTTCCTAGCTCGCCGAGCTGAGTCGATCTAGCTATGTATGTCCGTCCGTCTGTCCGTCTGTCCATGTTAATTTGTAATCACTCTACAGGTCGCAATTATGGCCCGATCTTCACGAAATTTAGAATGGATGGTCAGAATAGAACCCTATTTCTTTTGGAGATGATCGCATAATATTTAGGGGTCGAAATGGACCAAAAACTGAAAAAATGTCGGATTTTGCAGTAGCTATACAGGTCGCAATTATAGACCAATCGACGCGGAACTTCGCATGTAGCTAGAGTTTAGGGCGGGGAAGAAGCCTACCAATTTAGGTGGTCATCGGATAATATTTAGCGGGTAAAATAGACCATATCTTTTGTGTTGAAAAAATTCAAAATTTTTCATTAAACCGCGAATATTTTAAATCGCGGCGAAATCACAAAGTTAAGACAAGGTTACTCCTGATATTTACATTGATGTTAACATCCAACAAAACGGATATATAGCAAAATATGTGCGATATATATGTCTATCAAAGAAGATATGCTTGAAAGATCTCTTATATGTCGAGAACGGCTGAACTGATTTCGACAGTTCTCGTTAATTCAGAATGGCCTCTTGGCAGGAAAGAAACAACATCTAAAAAATCGCATAAAAATATCTCTCTAAAGATGAAAATATTGATTTTGTAAAATGTTCTCATATTTTTTCAATTTTGTCATATTTTTGGCATATTTTCATTTTGAATTAAACATTTGGTAATATTTCTACAGCTAACAAAACTAAGTAGTTAGGATATCAGGATATCATATACAGATCGCATTCATGGCCCGATCCTTACGAAATTTTGCATGGGGATAAGATGAGGGTCAGAATAGAAGCCTACTCTTTTTGGAGATGATCGCCATATATTTAGGGGTTGAAATGGACCAAAAAACTGCAAAATTGTCAGCAGGTCGTAATTATCGCCCGATCCTCACGCATATTTGAATGGGGGTTACTGGACATTGCAAAAGCCAAGCAGTTTTGGATGGCCATCCAAAATTACTCAATGTGTGAAATAGTTTGCCAACTTTTGTAGACAAAATACGAAAATGTCCATTCCAGTGACTTTTTGGAGAATTCACAAATACAGGAAAGACGCACTTCTGACTATTTCGTTAACGCTGATTTCGTTGAAGAATATAGTCAAATGTCTGTATCTCATATAGATGCTTTTCAGTCAAAAACCAATAATAAATGTTAATCTTTTGCCACTTCTGAGAGATTATAGGTCTTTGGGAAATATTGGTTCCAGATCTAGGAAGACCATGAAATGAGCAAATTAGTTTAAGTTGCTATTATTCGAAAATTAGAGAACGAAACCTGATGGTTTTCTTTTATTATTTATCACAATATCTTGTGGAATTCTTTCGAGTATATCGTCCATATAAGCTGTCTCTTTTATTATTGTGTTGTAGGGTATTCAACGGTCGGCCCCGCTCGACTGTAGCCTTTGCTTACTTGTTTTTGTCAGAAAATAGTAAAAGTTAACTGACAGATGCGAATAATAAGAAAACAGGCGTCAAAATCTTTCATTTTGAAGTTTACCGAGACGTTGCTATAGCGTTGCCCATCCGTCCGTCTGTCATCAGTCTGTGGAAATCACTTTAGCTTCCAAACGAAATGAAGTAGGTTGATAAAATTTTTCTTAAAGGTAGGGTAAGGGCGCCTAAGTCCGGCATGTCCCAGTAGTCGGCAGTTTTGAAATTTAAACTTAAATAACTAAGAATAGAATTGACCAAATAATGAAATAATTGCAAAAAAGCGTCAAGAGTGTTCTCTTCTCCCTTTCTGTAAAAAAAACAATGAGCTCCGATCATTTTTTACGAGAGAATAGCGGTTTTCGTCAGTGAGTGTCTTCTAACGCATGCGATGGTGCTTGTTTGTAAAGAAAACCAGTAAGGAAAGCTCAAAAGTCGGGCGGGGCCGACTATATGATACCCTACACCACTATACATATTTAGTAGAGCTCTCGTAAAAAGGTTTATACAGGGCATTTCAGAGCTCTAGGAGATATTTGGTACAAAATCAAAATCTATCTAATTCTATCGTGCATTTTACGAACTATAGCTATATCTGAACCGATTTTCACCAAGTTTGATGTATTTGATTCTAGGCTGAATTCGGTCAGATTTGCCAAAACCCAGGACATTTGGGTTGATATTGGCCATTTGTTGCACAATTAACTCGAAATCGAATGAAGATACATATGGGTGCTATATCCAAATCTGAACAGATTTTGAGAAAATTAAAAGCGACTACTTTTGGGCTTTATCTGATATCTGTTACCAAATATCATTCCTGTGAAGAGTATATTACGAACGTAAGAGACTTAAAGAGCAAATCGGATGAAACATATATATGGAGCTAGAGCTATATCTGAACCGATTTTTACTAAAATGTGTGTACTTGCTTATAGGCTGTTTTCGGTCGGATTTGCCAAAATTCATGCCATTTGGGCTGATATTGGCCATTTGATACACAATTAACACGAAATCGGATGAAGATATATATGGGAGGCATATCCAAATCGGAACAGATTTTAATAAAATTAAAATCAACTATTTTTGGGCTTTATCTGATAACTGGTACCAAATATCATTTCTGTGGAGTGCATATTACGAATGTGAGGGATTTAAAGACGAAATCGGATGAAACATATATATGGGAGCTATAGCTATATCTGAACCGATTTTTACTAAAATTGGTGTACTTGCTTCTAAGCTGGTTTCGGTCGGATTTGCCAAAATTGATGCTATTACGGCCATTCGGTGGTCAATCACCCGAAATCGGATGAAGATATATATGGGAGCTATATCCAAATCTGAACCGATTTCGATAAAATTTAAAACAGCTATTCCTGTGCTCCATCTAATACCTGGTACCAAATATCACGGTTGTGGAGTGAATATTACGAATGTAAGGGACTAAAACACTAAATCGGATGAAACATATATATGGTTGCTATATCTATATCTGAACCGATTTTCACTAAATTTGATATACTTGCTTCTAGGCTGAATTTGGTCCGATGTACTAAAATTCAGTCCATTTGGACTTATATCGGCCATTTGGTGCACAATTAACCCGAAATCGGATGAAGATATATGGGAGCTATATCCAAATCTGAACCGATTTCGATAAAATTACAAACAGCTATTTCTGGGCTGTACCTTATATCTGGTACCAAATATCACGGTTGTGGAGTGAACATTACGAATGTAAGGGACTAAAACACTAAATCGGATGAAACATATATATGCTTGCTATATCTATATCTGAACCGATTTTCACTAAATTTGATATACTTGCTTCTAGGCTGAATTTGGTCCGATGTACTAAAATTCAGTCCATTTGGGCTTATATCGGCCATTTGGAGCACAATTAACCCGAAATCGGATGAAGATATATATGGGAGCTATATCCAAATCTGAACCGATTTTCTCCAAATTTGTTGTATTTACTTTAAGGCTAATCTCGGTCACATGTGCCAAAATTCGGGCCATTTGGGCTGATATTGGCCATTTGGTGGTCAATTAACCCGAAATCGGATGAAGATATATATGGGAGCTATATCTAAATCTGAACCGATTTCGATAAAATTTAAAACAACTATTTCTGTGCTCCATCTAATACCTGGTACCAAATATCACGGTTGTGGAGTGCATAGTAGGAATGTGAGGGACTTAAAGATCAAATCGGATGAAAGATATATATGGGAGCTATAGCTATATCTGAACCGATTTTCTCCAAATTTGATATACTTGCTTCTAGGCTGAACCCGGTTGGGTGTGCCAAAATTCAGGTAATTTGGACTGATAGTGGACATTTGGTGCTCATTTAACCCGAAATCGGATGAAGATATATATGGGAGCTATATCTAAATTTGATCCGATTCTCACCAATTTCAATAGGGTTCGTCCTTGGGCCAAAAAAATATTGTTTGGAAAATTTCATCTCAATCGGATAATAAATGCGACCTGCATTTTGTTCACAAGAATACATGGACAGACGGACGGACGGACGGACGGACGGACGGACGGACAGACGGACGGACATGCATAAATCGACTCAGAAAGTGATTCTATGAAGGTTCTCAAAAGTAACTATGGGTCTATCTCGTTTCCTTCTCCATGTTACAAACAAATGCACAAAGACATAATACCCTTACCACTATGTGGTGTAGGGTATAAAAATAGTGGTGGCGTCAACTTAATAATCGATTTAAGTAAATAAAAATATAATATAATAGTAAATGACAGTCTGAAGATCACTTTTATAAATTAAAAACATACAAATCAAGCATTTTGTTGTATTATTTAATGCCGACATTAGGAACAGAAAAGAACAGAT